TTTATATCCAACAGGATTAAACAGTATGATGCACTAAATAGCAACACAAAAACTTATACTTTATTTGGAATGCAGTAGCATCTCTGTGTAGATTCTTGCTGCATCCCTGGAAGTGTGTATATTTTGCTGGCATGAACAGACACTGGTGACGAAGTTGTAGCTAGTAACCTCTCCTCATGGGGGCACTAAAAAAGAAAAGATTTTCTGGTTTTTGGTCCACTTTGGTTAACAGGTAAATACCCCATCCAACCACTTGTTTTACATTATCTTCTGTTTTAATATTCCTGTACAAACCATATACAGAAAGTGACAATTTCCAAACAGAGAAAAAAGCTGTAAAAAATGAATTCTAGATATTGAGATCCTTCTGTACTAAAATTGATGCCAGTTAAAACTGATATGACTGTCCCACTTCGTTCTTCCAAATTACAGAGGAATAAAGAGGAATAAAATCTCCCAAAATTAGAAGTAGTGAAACAGAAAATGTCCATGGGGAGAAAGAAAAAAGATAGTACTGCATAGTCTCAATCTCTTCTCTGCCCTGCCCCTAAGAGAAACAAAAAAAAAAAAGGGAGTGCTAAGAAAAGCTTTTTTTTTTGGGGGTAGTTAAATACTTCTGGCATAGATAGTTTGGAAACAAGCAAAAAAGCCCTGAAGCCAAGATTTACCTGTCTGTGACTCTAAGAACTGAGTCAACCTGAAGAAATACTACAGGACAAGCCAACAGAATCTGCTAAATCTCAGTAAGTCTAAGTCTCATTAAGATGTAATGAAGTTTTTTTTTGAGCCTTCTGTCAGAGAAATTCCCACAGGATTTTCTGCTTAGCATAGAACTTTGTATCCAAGTATAAATTCCTTCCGTTAAATTACTCAAAATGTAGCTGTTATAGTGGGTAAGGAAGTTGTGAAAAAAAAAAAAGTCAGAAAATGTAATGCTAGTTTTAATATGAAAGTCATTAACAAGTAGTCCACTATTTCTTACATCTTAAACATAAGACATACAAACAAAACTGGTGGTGCTTTCAGCTACGTAGATGCATGAATATCTACATACTATTGATAAAGCCTATTGTTGAGCTTTTTTGTGTTCATATATAATTCAGGTTTGTTTTGTTCTTGTTTTTTTTTACTATTGTGTCGTAATTACTCAATAAATTCTATTTCCAAGCACAAAGTGGAACATAGAGAAATTTCATTCATTCCATTTTGAGTAAGGTTGTGTATTCAAGAGAAAGTCTGCATTACTATCAAGGATATATTTAGAAATATAGTTGAACTATTAATCACTGTTAAAACTGAAATTTCCCCCCTGAAATTAGACTATGTTTCTTTCGTGAGTCTGGGCACCAAGCAGTCTTGTGCTCTTTGGTTCTTGGGCAGATTTTTCTCTCTCATTCAGGTACACTTTCCCCTATCTCTTTGTAGATGTAATCAATCAGTCCTCCTACATGCTCTGGGGTTTTTTTTTTTTGCTGACTACAACCTTGGTGGTGATGGCACTATCCACTGTTTCAGAGGAGTCTGATCTTACAGACTACTTACAACTAGCAGGTCAATAATTAAACACAATGTCTTTATGAGGCTATTTGTGTTTTGGTTGGTTTTTATTTTGTTTTTTTTTTTTTTTTTTTTTTTTTTTTTTTTTTTTTTTTTTTTTTTTTTTTTTTTTTTTGTTTTGTTTTTGTTTTTAATGGGTTAGATTGAGCAAAATAATTACATCTACAACTTCAAGCTATGGTTCTGCTGTCTTCCAGTTCACACTGATTCTTGTCTATCAAAACAAGAGGGAAAAGTAAACTCTTTAAATGAATGTTTTTCCTCATGTTAAATAATATATACACATCAGCATATGCATTCTAAAGAAGAAAGTATTTCATAGAATCATCAGTGTTGGAACAGACCTGTAGGATCAAGTCCAACCATCAACCTACCACTACAACTTTCCAGTTATTAAACACCCATTCCTCCATTTTAGTGTACTAAAATAAAGAAAAGTCAACACCATCCTATTTTCCTTCTGTTCCACTGTCATGCAGAGTCTTTCATGGGCTTTGCTTAGATCATCTGTAAAGCTTCACAAGACGCAACTGTTACTGAAATGGCCTCTGTTGTTGGAAACCATTCTCAAGCCATCACAGTGATTTCTTTCCTACTCTCTGAGGCTTCTTCAGTTACTAATTAGACAATAAATGTTAAGGAATGCATTTAAAAAGCACTAGCAGCACCTAGTGCCTTTTGCTGATGTTCCACTGTACCATTTATTTAGGCAGCAAAAAACTATGTATCTTGACTGCAGATATGGAATTCATTTTTAGGAGGTAATTAAACTATCACCTCTGTTGAAATTTTCTTTAGCAAGAAACAATAAAGCAATTTCTTTTGTATTAACATTTGAATTCTAACAGATAACTTACCAAGTCTGCAGATATTTCACAACATGTATCTTCTGTTGCAAGTTGTGAATTACAATAAACTGCTATGTGGTGAAGTTCAATCTATTAAGGAATAAAAAAGAAATTAATATGAGGTGTAAAAAATTATGCATTGTGGCAGCTTTTTCTTATCTTGGGCTAGTAAACCTTCTCTTTGAAACACTGCATATTTCTGAAATGCTAGAGAAAGGAAAATCCAAAACAATTATATGGCTCCTCATTTAAGGAACAAATTATGCAGTTTATTACTTTGATGTAAATCACATTTTAGATTTCATTTATTTTCATTTAAATTGCATCCATCTCTATTGATTTGCTATATTACACAGGCATTTTAGCCTTCTAGACATCCTCTGCAAAACTTCTCTGCAGGAATGTAACTTTCCTCTGCAGGAAAATAAAAAAAAAGATTTTATAAACTCTCTTATCACATGCATCTATTCCTTTGGACAGAACTTTTCCTGGACATTGCCACTAAATCACCTGAAGAGCAAAAATCACAAATTCTGTATATAAGGCTTTCGCTTCAGAGACTCAGGGTGGATTGAAATAATGAGAAGTAAGTCAAATTCTAACTAGCTATTCTTGTCCTCATATTTCTCTTTCTGCATCAGTTTTATATCCTCTTAATCTCCTTCTTGCACTTGGTATTGAGAAAAGTGACCATTGTAATTGGATCTGCTCTGCTGCCTTCATCAGCTTTAAGCCCATGTTTTCCTGCAAACTTGGAAATCCCAATTGACAACTTCCACTCTGAATTATCCAGTCCATACCATGCAACCAGCAGAAAAAACATGCTTTTTCTGCTGCAGCTGGAAATGAGAAGACAGTAGACACATTTCAAATAATGTTAAACTCAAGTCTTAGAAAATAAAACAAAGAATGAGCTTGGCTCCATGAAATAAGAGATCTGAGTCCTGGCCAAAGTACTTAGTGCCCCACAAGAATGTCTCCTCCTGCAATGTTAGCTTGCAGTTATAATGTGCTATTTTCCTCTGGAACCCTACAGCGTACATAACATGGCTGAAGCTTTCTGATGGTCACTAAAATCCCCAAGGCAGATGCTCTAAACTTGGTATCTGCATGTCACTGTACTTAAAACCAACTAAGACTTCCTGAAGATTTCAAATTACTTGCTGTGCTTTCAAATTACTTGCTTTCAAATTACTTTCCTCCCTGCATGAGGAAACAGAAGAGAGCATCCCTGGGACACAAAATAGCCCAGAATATTATGATGTTTCCTTGTGTAATTCTTGCACCAAAGGCTGCAGGAAACAACCTCTGGTCACTTCCTAATCCTTCCCTTTTGGGTAAGGGAGAGACAATTGTGAACAATGTGCCCCTGTTTCTACATAGCTGAATTACCCTTGAAGACATCAATTCAGAAGTAATTCTTGATTATTTTGTGTCCTCCCTTTATCAAAATCAAAGTGCAACAGATGACTGATACAAATCTACAAATAAATCTTATCAAAAATGAAAGAAAATAATTAGGACTGCGAGTTACCTTTAAACATAGAAATTATATATCAGTGGTAATTAGGTGTCTCTTTTTCCCAATTAAATACAGAAAAACAGACTCCTTAAACCAGGAATGAGTTCTATGCAGTTACTTTGGCAACAGCTTTTTCTTAGCAGATGCTACATCACTGAATAATGTTTAGAGAAAAACACTTAAGGACTTCAAATTAAGAATACACACTCAAAAATAATGACTGGGTTTGAACATTTTATCTATGTGATTCTTTACAACTGTGTTAGTAAAAGCATGGCTAAAACATTACTTCAAGTTATCTGTTTTTCCTTTCATTCTACTCACATCTACAGGCTTATCATCTGCAGCACGAGAAGCAATCAGTGTCCTTCCCTGCAAGTCAATGGTGAATTTTTCATCAGTCTGCTTTCTCTCAATTAAATTACAATCCAAATAGAGGGAAATGATCCCTGACTGCACGCTAATACCAAGCTTATGCCACTGCCGATCAAACAACGGATAAATTTCTCGACTCTTAAAAGTGTAGTGCAGTATATTTCCCTGAGAGGATTTGGTCATATACTCCACCACCTTTTTTGTACCATCCAGGAGGACAGAGATCTGAAAGCAAGACAAAATAAAATCAGTGGTTATTTAAAAATTATAAGAAAGAAGCAAATAAATAAACTATATATAACAAAAATATTTTAAATACATACACTGGGCAAGAATCATGTTATGAAGCATTCTTCAATGGAACTTGGTACATACATATCAGCTATAAATCAAAGCATGCATTTATTCTATTTTGCAGTCTAAACTGAATAGATTTTGCTAAATTTCTGTCATTCCTGCCACAAATTATAAGTTAATTTGGAGCAGTCTGTCTATTTCATATAAACTTTAGCTAAATCCATTAATGGAACATCCATTATTACATGTGCCATATTACATGCAGGAAAAAAGAAACTTTTTGAGGAAATAAATCAAAGATGACTCTAACCTCAGGTGTGTCATACTGATTTAAAACTTGCCATATATACCAACGCTCTTTCTTGGTATTTCGCCGTACACGGAATGTAGCAACCAGAGAGTATTCTTCAGGAAGCCCATTTGGAAATACTTGCCTGGAACAAGAGGGAGGAAAAAGATTTTTTGTTATTCTTATATAAACAAGCACTGCTTAAAAGGAATGAACAGAAATAATACCTGGTGAAAACAAGAAGCCAAACACTTGCTCCCACTCATACATATTCACAGACCTCACCATTCAGAAGTGTTTCTTCTCAAAAGTACAATTTAATCTTTTTATAAGAATAAATGACTGGAAGTTTTTTAATTAGTTTCTGTTCTATTTTTTTTAACATGTGTGATTAATACAAATCGGAGCCTAAAAAGAAATTATGCAAAGTGAATGTCCCCCATGGAAGTATTTTAAAATATGTCCTTTCCCAGTTTATTGCTTGGGATACTTGAATAAGTTTTGTAGAGGATTTGTGGAATAATCTCCATCCTTGGAGACTTTCAAAACACAGCTGGATAGGGCTCATAATAACCTTATCTAACTTTCAAGTTCGTCCTGCTTTGAGCAGGGATTTGATCCAGTGACCTCCATGGGCAATGACTCGGACATCTTGAACATCAGAACAGTTGGACTTAAGCAAGCTTGAAAAAAATAAGGAATGTATTTTAGAACAAATGATTTACTATTGTTTGATTTTGTTATTACTTTCTCACCTAAGATGCGTCAATGCCTCCAAAAAAGTCTGACCTATCACAGAATGCACCTCAATACCACTTCCATGAACCATTTGAAAAGTTTTTATTTCACAAAAAATGAAATCTGTACCTCAACTCTACAGACTTTGGTAACTATTAAATATACACTAATTATGTAATAAATAAATTAGGTTGGTACAATCAACTTTTTTAATTTGAAGTTCTGCATTTCAAATTATTTCTTTTCTAAGACAGAAGTGAGAAAATTATAACCAGAGATCTCTACACAACACAGCAGTAGCAAAAGCATTCACATTGCTGTTTGCAATCAGCTAGCCATGGTGCAAAAAGCATTCCCTGGATCAGAGTTCAGGAAACCTGACCCCCCACGCAGCAGAAAAAATTCCTTCATTTTATTTCCCACAGTCACATGAAGCAAATGGTTTAATTCTAAAAAAAATACTGATGGGATTACAATTATACAGCAATGTATTATAAAGCTTTTCTTAAAAACAAAACAAAATAAAACAAACAACAAAGGTGGGGGCAAAGAAAGAGCAGAGCACTACAGCTGATGAAACAATAGCCCCACAACCCTCCTGGACATTGTTGCATTTAGGAGCTCAGGAAAAATGCCTCCTGTGCAGAGAAGCCTGCTCTAAATCCTGCCAAAGAGCTTCTTTATGGACTAGCACCTATTTAAGTCCCTCACGTGGGAATCACACTTCTTTGGCTTATTTCCCACAGCTGATTCCTGTTTTATCCTCGAACTAAATTGGCTGCTGTCCCACATTGTTAGTGGACCTATATGCTGGTGTACAGCTATAGATGTTGGAATGTCAAAAGGCAAGGCAAAAGAGAATAGGCTTGGCTGTACTTAGACCTAGATTTCATACTTTTTATTTCAAATATAGCATAAAGAACATGTTTCATGATTTATATAAAAAAAATACCTTCACTGGGAATGAGTGTGTGACTGCAGAACAATAAGCTATCTGGACGTGGGATCGGCCCTATGATTTCCTGCACTCCAGTCAGGCTGAGATGGTATCTCAGGCTTACAGCTGTAAGCTAGACAGGATATCTGGCACCTGATGTGGATGGGAGCATTTGATTAGCTCTCCAAAATCAGTTAACATTCCCAGCTAGGTTCCATACTGGGGACACCGGAGAATTCACATTAATGGACAAAGGACAGACAACTGTGGAAAAGAAATTATCAGTAACTGTCTTCATCAAATGAAAAGAGGGGAAACCATGATTTTTACTGTAGGCCTGGAAGTCAAGCAGAAGCAGTCTTTGGGCAAGGTGGCACTATTTTCTACACACCCACACCCACCCACCAACTCCATCACTTTTCACTGCATGCCTTCCTAACACTTTCACAGCCGTCTAGATGTATGACAGTATTAAGTCTTCTAAAATTGTGTTTCTTGCAGAATTTTCTCAAATAAGCTTGGTTGTGTGAGTACATGTAATATAAATTTACCTTCCTTAACTATTTACCAAATCGTTCAGGAAATAAGAGAAGAGCTAGGGTATGGGCCAGCATTACAAAAACCAGCAGGAGTTCACTCTAACTTCCCTTACCTTCGAGCTGACAAAGAAAACTGCATTGAGAGAAGTGAAAAAAGCAGACAACATCAAATTAATTCCTAAGGAATTTCAGTGAATTCAACTAAAGAGGCAAGATTTAAACAGAATTGGACAAAGGATAAATTCAGTTAGATTCCAAAAATAACTTAGGTAGGAAAGTACTTCTGGAGGATTTAACCCTGGGCTTAAAGTAGGGACAACCTGAAAATTTTATCAGGTTACTGTAAGTCCTGTCCTGCTGAGTTTTGGAAGTATCTAGAAAGAAAATTATTCCACAACTTTTTTGGGAAACTTATTCCAGTATCTGGCCAACAAACAGCACAAATTTAATATACAACTACCATGTACCAGAAATATAACCTAACAGAAGCAGTATCTTTATTTTGACAAGAGTTATCATTGGTGCCTATATGAAATTCTCTACTGACCAAAAAATTGTTAACAGATACTTTAAAGTATACACTTGACAGTCAACCCTTCTACCTAGATGGTGAACATGAAAAAGAACAAAATAATGGGATGAAATATCCAGAAAACCAGCAGGCTATCTGCTACCATATAGAATTTTCCCTATGCTCTTGCTCCCTGAATGGCTTAAAGTGACTGTAAAAGAATATAAAAGCATGCATTGAGCATTGAAGTGACTTAGATACAGATGACTAATAACATACTTCAGTGATATTTAAGTATTATTGCCATGGCATCTTCTACTGTATTAAATCAGTTAAAAATCCTCAAAAATAGGTAGAGTATGTATATGTTTTAAAAAATAAATATAATTATATTTGATGAGAAAAATAAAACACCAAAAAGAAAAATTTAACATAAAACCTCACATTGGAACATGAGAAAAGCCAAACCAAATTTTCATTGAATACTGAATTTGAAATTCAGAAGTTCTTTGAATGTTTACTATACTGCTTCATCTGATCACATCTACAAACATTTAAAACCTGAGAAACCTTATGAGCTATTATGTAGAAGGTGAAAACAATAAAGGAACAACATTAAACACTAATAAAAAATTCAAAAGCAAGTTGTTCCACACATCCACAACCCAAAAAGTACTTCAACACAGAGTATTTAACCTTTCCACATGACACAGTATAAAAACAATAAGAGACAGAAAGGGTGAAGGAAACCTACCAAGCTCACCTCAATGTTTACAGATGTACAAACAGCACAAACAGAGAGCATGAACTTAAGGTAGTAAATCATGATGTCTCACCAAAAGCAGTAAGAGAGAAGATAGGTTTTAAGCAAGTTATGATGTTACAGAAATATGGGTAGCAACTGATAAGTGGGCGAATTTATCCATAAAGACAAAAAAACTTACAAATTAACACAGACAAGCGGATGAGAGTATCCTTGACATCTGATCTCTCAGCCAGATGCCTTTTTGGACAACAGTGTCTGAACAAGATTACATCATCAGAGTTGGGAGCAAAATATCTGACTCTCCATGGAAAGCAAATATCCTTCTCAGTGGAACAACAGTTAAGTTCTCACATGCTTGTTTAATTTCCTTACCAAACCAGGCATCCTTCCCACATGACTACTCAAACTTTTAAGGCTATTAAAAAGGTGCTCTCTTCCTCTTCCACACTCAAAACACTCTTGACTGCTGTGGTTTGTGTTGAATCCAATGCTGTCCAAGCTTACTGTGTGTAATTGAAGCACAGTCAATGGTTTAGGTGCCCCTAGGGACATGGGCAACGTTCTGGCATCTCTACACACATCTTTCAGTCACAATGGAACTTGGGTGGGAGTTACATGCCTGTCTGCTTAAGCCATGGTGCTTCTAAGCATGCCTGGAATTTATGCCCAGATGCCAGGGGAAATCAGTTGTACAAAATTATTCATTTTAGGTGCCACTAGGGGTTGGGTGGTGCTTGAGAGTGGGCAATTTGAATTATTCTCAGACTCAGGCGCCCAGAGTCTGATTAAATTATACTTTAGGTGGAATTTCGACAGTTTGATTCTCTCCCTCTATCCGTATTGTCAGTAGTATATAATAAAAAATTCAAGTTGACAAATGGAGTGCTGTGTTCTCAAAGCAAAGTACACACTTGGTGGAAACTACTGAAAACAATAGCAGGAATTGAAGCACATGAACTGAATAGAGAGGTTTGAATTTACACCACCCTGGTCTGCTGGACTGAGATGTACTGCAAATTACAGAGGCCTCAGCTGGCAAATTGAGAAGACCATCAATAGCCAGCAGGAACATTCCCAACAATACAAGGTTTTAGATTGTACATAGATATGTTACAAATCCATACATTCAGGTCTTAATGTTTCACTGGTTGAAACATGAGGCAGATGCAGCCAGAATGGTAACAAACACACATGTTCTTGCAACAACTGTGTGCCACTCTGTCAAAGCATATGTATACATAGAATTGCAAAGGCTTTTCTGCATTCTCTTCTTTTTTACTGCACCAAATGTAGCCATAATTTTTCCTAAAAACAGGTGTATACTATGGCTGTACATTATGAAGTTACCAGAAGAGCAGTTATAAGAATGTTGCATGAATATTACCACTATATTTGTGCATACCTTCCACTGTTTATAAAGATTAAGTATAGAATGATTTTTGGTAAAGTATTTTCTTTATTAATTTGTTTCCTCAAAAGTTCTGAAATGCAGATACCAGCTGGAACTTCTAGTGCTAGCATACTAAAAGAAGTAATTATGAATGAATTAACTGTGTATTCACTATGCTATAAACAGTTTGAGTTCTATCTTTGTAAAGCAGCATTGAGTTACCCATATCAAATTTAGTAAGGCAATCCTTTATTTACCTTTTGT